CATAGGATCTGTCTGATTAAAAGAAATTAACAGCTCAGTTTCAGACCCAAAAAAAAATCCTTTGTACAGGGCCAGTGAAAGGCTAAGCATCACCTGGCTGTCCTCCTCAGCTTACTTCCAGCACCAAGTGCCTGGGCGGGCTTATTTATTCTGAAGAAGATGAAACACAGATAAAATAATGGGATTCCTTTAGTCTATTTAATTTTCTTTTGTGTGTTTAGAATGGGGAGTGCTGCAAAGAGGGATCTGTTTTGTTGGAAATTCCAAGACACAGGACATCTCAAAGATGGCAAGATAAGAAATAGCTGACATCATGTTTCTAAATATACTACCCTGTGCAACAGCTACCTGGAGCAAAAGCAGAAAGGTTGGGGAGGCAAAATAATGACTTTTAGTTGCTGGAAGGCATCCATGTTCAACAGTCTGTCAGGAAGAGACAGGTGAGGCTGGCTCACCACCTGGGGTGAAGGCTGGTACAGAGTTTTTATTAAAATTATTGCACAGGAGCAGAGAAGATGAACACTCAGTGGGTGTAGTGGAACTGCCAGACCATATGTTTGGCTAGAACTAAGAAGCTCTTTCTCCAAAATAAAACTACCTAAGGCAAGCACCATGTGTTTAAAAAAATCTTGTGTACTAGGCAAATACATTCCAGGATTTAGATATAAATTTTGTATGCCACTGTATCTTTAGTGCCAATGTCGGATTTGTGACCTGGCTATAGAGTCATTTGAGGTGGAATGGCAGGGAGAATATAAACTAAAGTTTGGAATATCATCTGGAGGATGAGGAGGATGTTAAGTGGTTCTGTACTCTTAGCATTGTGCCCATCATAGACTCTCAGGGCTAGCAAGAAGGGACTAAAGCTTTAGCCGGAGTTAAACCCTGTGGTGTATGAATAACGTCCTGAGAGGTAATGTGACTCATTTAAGGTCCCATGGCTAGTAGTGCCAAACTTAAAACCAGAGCCAAAGTCTTTCTGACCCTCAGTCCTTTGCTCTTTTTCACTAGAGAACATAGCTTCCCACTCGTATCCGTTTCATTTTTACCATAAACACAGTGGCTTAAAACAGCACACATGTATTATCTTGCTGTTCTAGGTCAGAAGTCCAAAACCAGTTTCACTGGCTGGCTTGCTGGAGGCTCTGAGGGAAAATCTGTTTCCGTGCCTTCCCCAGCTTCCAGAGGCTACCAGCACCCCTTGGCTTAGGGTCTCTTCCTTGGGTCACTGCACCTTCTTGCTCTTACCATCCCATCTTCCATTACTTCCATTACTGACTCCGACCTTCCTACTCCCTCTTGTAAGGATACTTGCAATTACATTGGCCTCAGCCAGATAACCCAGAATAATCTCCCGTCTCCAGATGCTTAATTTGGTCATACCTATAATGTCCATTTTATCATATAAGGGGCCATATTCAGAGATTCCAGAGATTAGGATGTGTACATCTTTGGGGGGCACTATTCTGCCTGTACTCCATCCTACCTCTCATTATTCCCTCTCCTGTCTTCTGAAACCAATCAATATAGAGGGTATAAGAGATTTCTATGGTCAAAACTATACAGTAAAACTCATGGAACACTGGGGTGGTTTTCTTCAATTTACACAGCACTTTTGCCTCTGTCCATTTCCCTGACCCACAGATGAGTGAAAGGCCAATATCCCCCTTCTTTTATAGATTAGTAAAGGAGGGGAAAGTTAAGGCTTTGTTGAATTAAACATTGGTTCTTAAGGCATACCTGCCTGTACCAAGTAATATGGAAATGCCCTCAGTGCTTAGAGCAGTATTCAAAGTCCTTAGGTTCCTAATTTTTTTGGTTAAAATTCAGAGCAGGTGGCTTCATTTGTTCTTTCAATCATTTTTTTTCTTTTATCTCTATGGCAAGAGATAAGAGAACATTTGCCTAATATCTGTTTGTTTGGCTTCATGTCCTTGGGCTGTGCCAATGGGCAGAGTGTGTGGTAAAGAAACTTATTCATAATCCTAAACATATTATATAAGTGGCTGATTCAGAACAGGAAGGTGTCTGTTACCAAAGGAAATGTAGTGAGGAGGCTGTGGGAGAGGAGACCTCATTAGCAAAGGAAGGTTGTCACTTTGGAGAGTTCCGTCATTTCTGTGCTTTTTCACAGACAGCTTAAGCTTGTCACTCTCTGAATTCCTTTCTTGGAGAATGATTGGAGAGGGAATAAAAATATTTGCAATTAAATGAACTTTACCAACCTTCAAATATTCTGAACACCTGGCATTATATTTTATTAAAAACAAATATAGTAGGCACTCAATAAATGTTTGCTGAGTGTTGAATGAATGAATCTCATCATGGGTTGATTGATTCTGCATGAAAAATACATGAAGAATGTTTTCATTTGGGCTTGTTTGCTTCTTCTACATTTGATGATGACTTAAGGAGTCATTTAACTTTTTAAAGTCGAGCTAGGGCACGTGAGTGGCTCAGTCGGTTAAGCATCTATCTGCCTTCAGCTCAGGTCATGATCCCAGGGTCCTGGGATTGAGCCCTGCATTGGGCTCCCTGCTCAGCGGGAGCCTGCTTCTCCTTCTGCCTCTGCCTGCCACTCCCCCTGCTTGTGCTCTCTCTTTTTCTCTGTGTCAAATAAATAAATAAAATCATTAAAATAAATAAAGTTGAGCTAAACAAATGTAGGCCCATAGTCAGAAATGTGCTGGATTCGGTATGCTTAGGAGACCAAATTGAGGGAAAATATTTTGCTGGACTTTGCTAAGGCCTTCAAGAATGTTTGAAAATAGTCACAAAGTTCCTTCTATCAATCCAATGTCTAAATGACCAACTCCTTATACTCAGGCTTCTTGCATGGGAGGGGCCATTGCCAATTTTCGAGGGTATTGTGGAATCCAAGAACAATCATTCCATTAGAACCAAAAAATATTTGAGCACCCACCATGTCCCAGCCTTTTAAAATATATTGTTTCGTTAAACTCTCTCAACAACTTCATGATATAGGTGTTGCTCTCGTTTTACAGATTAGGAAACTTTGAAGGAGGTTAAGTGACCTTTGCTAAACTAGAAAATCCAAGTATTTCAAAGTCTGTGTATTTCAACACCAAATCCAGTGTGGTTTTGACTTTACTGTGGCTTATTTCTATGCCAGAAATCTCTATTAAGTGAAAAGACTAAGAAAATATCCACAGAGTGTCTGAAAGGAAGTGAGGTCATTACTATAACACATCTTCAAAAGAAGGTTTTCTGGTGACAAACTGACAGAAAGGAAGGGTTTAACTTTCACATTTGCAAAGGGCCACAGAAGCAAGAGCTCTCCACTCAGGCACCTTGCATCTCAGGTCCATGTCTACTCACGAGGGACTTTAAGCAGTTCCTTAGCCCCCTTTTGCTCGGTCTCTTCCTCTTTTTATTTATTTATTTTTATTTTTATTTTTTAAAGATTTTATTTATTTATTCATGAGAGAGAGAGAGAGAGAGAGAGAGAGAAGCAGGCTCTCAAGGAGCAGGGAGCCTGATGTGGGACTCGATCCCAGGACCCTGGGATCATGACCTGAGCCAAAGGCAGATGCTTAACCATCTGAGCCACCCAGGCGCCCATCTTCCTCTTTTTAGATGAGATGAACGACAGCATCTACTTACAGTACTGGGGAGCTTGTGAAAGCAAGTAGATTAATCCATGTAAATCCAGTTTATGGTGCACAGGAAGTGCTGCAGGAGGTGCTAGTGATAATTATTTAGGGGAAGTCAAAGTCTTTTTCAATTTTGTATTCATTTTAATTAGAATGAGTCTTCCTTTAAGCCTCATTTCTCTTAAAATTGTCCAAGATTCTGAAGTTTTAGATTATTATTTTGGGGATGAATACACATTTTCAAAGCATCCCCTTTTGGGCATTGCTTTAATTTATGTGCCACCACCCACTTCTGGATCATTCATAGAAAAATTACATTCTAATTATGATGAGTCAATAATAATAATAATAAAAGTAATAATAATAATAAATGCCATCAATACATTCCATGGCACACTAACTAATCACTGTTTAATTATTATCAAATCCAACTGAGGTTTAGCAGCCATCTGGTTTGGATTCTGTTCTAGCAGTGCCGCTTGCTAGCTGGGTGCTTTCTTTCTGAAATATGGGCTCTTTCCTTCCATCTGAGGTGCTATGGTTCTAAGAAGGTTGTGAGTCTGACTGAGAATGTCTCAGTCCATGAGGAAATATGTGCTTGGAAGACATCCTTCCAGAAGGCAAACCTGAATAAAATCCTTCTCTTCAAAAATGGAAGCAGACAAGGAAACTGGTTTGTCTGGTTTGAGTGTACTTTCACTGCTGTATACAACAGCACTTTCAGGCTTATTCCCTTCCAAATATTTCTTCTGCCTTGTCTCACCTAAAGGTAGGAAGCATGGACCTTACAGGTGGTATATCACTTGTACTTTCATTTCCTTCAGTGCGTGGAGCAAGGATTGCCAGGGCCTACCTGTGCTTCTGGTATTGAAAACAGCAGGGTATCATGACTTTATCAGAGTCTTCCAAAAGGCCACAAGGTGGGGATATTACTCTACATATTTAGATATTTTAACTCCTTCTACAAATAATTATTGAGTGCCTACTACGTGCTTGGCATTGTGCCAGGTTCTGGAATTACAGTGATGAGTCAAACAGACCTTGCTCACTGGAGTTTTCAGTATCAGAGAGAAGGTAGATGTTTGAATGTGGATTTAACATTCTGCTTAGTGCTGTGGTGACAGAAATGCAGGGGGCCATAGGCATGAATGATAGGGGCCCTAAATGCAATTTGAGAAGGGCCTGGACAGAGCTCTTGGAAGACTTCCTGGAGTAAACAGTGTCTATGCTGAGACCTGCAGAATGGCTCAGCTTTACCTAGGAGCAGAGTTCTAATCTCGACAGAAGAATGGCATGCCCAGAGGCCCAGCAGGGAAGGTAAACTTGGTTCTGTGAAGCAATGTTCTCTGAAAAATGTTAAATGTTAAAAATGTTAAAACATTCAGAGCCCAAATTCCTATTTTATGGATATAAAATGTCCAGATTGCTACAAGATTACCACGGTTTTCAGCCATGCTCAGAGGCTGGTTCTTTGTGTAGGCTGTTCAACAGTGTTGTGCCAGCCAACGGGAGGAAGGGCCAGACTCACAGAGGGGTGTTCATTTAGAAGAAAGCAACACTAATGGGCCACACAACCTCTTGAATTTGTGTTATATTGCAGAAAGCATTATCAGTTCAGTAATTCCAGTTAATCTACCAAGATAATGTAATTATGCTTAATTTTGAGGTTTACAACAGTGATCTTATATTTTGGTGTCAGTTTTTCCATAAAGTTTCCATTATGGGCAAAAAAAAAAGGTTAAAAATGTTAAATTGTAGTTGAGGCCTAAGAGTAGTGTTGAGAGATGGGTCTAGGCCATATCACGAAGGGACTTGAAGGTCATGTTTTTAGGGTAATTTTCAGGTCAGTGGGAAAGTGGTTCCTCTTATACTGGTCTGTCCACCTGGAAGGTCTTTCTTATCCTTCTCTGACTGGCACAATCCCTGTCAACTCTCAATGTTCATTTGCTTTCTAGGAATCCTGATCCCTTATCTACCACGACTGGGTTCAGCCCCTCATCTTTGGCACAGTATTTTCTCCATCTATCACTTAGGCAGTGGTCCTCATTTTTAACAGATAGGGCTTGGACACAGCAAATGGCGACTTGATTCCTACATCCCCTGCTTTCTAGTAAGTTCTTGGCTTCAGATTCCTGACTTGGAAAATGAGGCTAATAATAGCAGCCATCTCATAGAGTTTTGTGAAACAGCCTGAAAGTTGGAAGTGCTTAGCATATTACCTGGCACCTAATATGTGTTGAATAAATGTTAGCTATTGGTATCAGTTATCCTAAATGTTAGGGGTTGATGTCCATTACCCTGAATTTTAGTTTCTTGATCTCTCGTCTCCTTCTCCTATTATCTTCTAAGATTCTGGAGGACAGGGACCATGTCTTATTTTACCATTATGACTCTGGCTTCTACCACCATTACTGGAACAAAGAAGTGCTCGATCGATAGTCATTGGATAATGAATGAGCGTATTTATTGTGTGACTCGCATTTGTTTCACATTTAAAACTATTAATTCCAAGGTGATATAGTTGAAGATTGTGTGTAGTGAAGCTCCTTTGTGATCTACCCCATCAGGAAATGGGAATCTTCCTATGGGCAGAAAACATGTGTGATTTAGGGTTTTAAAATACTTATTTTATTTTTCCAAGTTTTGTTGATCATCCTTACTTTAATCAATGTCAATTGCTTTCTGAATTTAATGAGTGATTTAAAAAAAATTCACTTAACATTAAAAATTTTAACTCACAGGAGTATTCATATTTTAATGTTGTTTTTAAGGAACATGAACACATATTCAGGAACATATAAATTTGCTTTTACTTGAATTTTAAACTTAGCTATAGAGAGTTTACTTAACATAGTCAGGCAAACACTTTGGAACAATATGACTAGTAATTCATTTTATTATTTCTAATATATGAGATGGTGCTGAACTGACTTTTAAAAAGGTGTGCATTTCTTAGTAGTTGAAAGAGCATGAGATTACAAGCCTAGAGATCTAGATTCTACTGTTGGATCTACGTTAAACAAGCTTTACAACATTGGGAAGTCAATTTTCCTTTTATGAACCTCCATTTCATTTCTAAACTTGGCCAGATCGAGCTGGATTTCAGATAAGATTCTCTCTGAGTTCCTAAATCTCATGATTTGATATCTTTCTGTTCAGATGATGAGCCAGTGAGCTTCTGGCAAAACAGATTGGTGTATATATAAATGCAGTGGATTAAAATCAGACATTGATTTCTTTTTTCACTGTAACACTTTTGTTGAAACTCTGCTTTTCTGGGGGAGAAGGTGAGATAACAGCTGAAAGCTAGTATTTATTGAGTCCTTACTAAATTAGGCTGAGTGCTTTACATGCGTTATCCAAATCTGATTCCACTGAATGAATATTATATTATTAGCCACATTTTACATGTAAGGAGGCAGGTTTCAGAGAGGTTGAGTGATTTAGCCAAGGTCACACAGCTTGTAAAGTAGTAGCAAGAGGCTGATTACAGAGCCCACTCTCTTAGCCATTAAGCTGTATTGACTACTTCTTATAGAGGGTCTACTATTTGTCAGGCATTGTGGTAGACAATCCACAAGCATTCTTTTATTAAGTTCTCCCAACATTCCTGTGGAATAATTCTCATTAACTCCATATTTTTTCTTTATCAGAGTAACTAGAAATTATAGGACAAAGGCATATCAGGGAGAAAAGAAGTCCACAAACATAAATAGGGAAAACCTGAGGCCTTGGTATGGAAGTTGTTTAACCATTTTAAAGGATATAGTTTTCCTCTGACTTAGACTGTTAATGATTATTTACAAAGCCAGCTGCTATTTTGTCTGAAATCCTTTTATTCTGGCATTAATAGAAAATAAAAAGTTGAATTATAGCCTCTGCCCTTAAGAATCTCAGGTTTAGGGCACCTGGGTAGCTCAGTTGGTTAAGCATCTGCCTTTGGCTCAGGTCATGTTGGGCTCCTGCCCAGTGGGGAGTCTGCTTCTCCCTCTCCCTCTTCCTCTCTTCGCTGTCGGTGCTCTGTCTCAAATACATAGATAAAATCTTAAAAAAAAAAAAAAAAAGAATATACAGTTTATACTCCCCTTAAGATTGCAAGATCTTGGCAAACTAGTAACATCTCTGAGCCTCCATTTTCTCATCTGTAAAATGAGCATAGTTCCTACCTTGTAGGCCTGTTATGATTATTAGGGACAATACACAGAAAGCATCTGTAATAATGTCAAGAATATAGGAGATACTCAGTAAATTATAACTGTAGTAATTTTTATGATTGTTATACATTACTATTGTTTCCCACTTCATTTTAAACTTCTTGATAACAAGGGGTATGCCTTCCCACAGTGATTTTCAGGTAACACGGATGCAGAATATTTTTAAATGAAATATTGATTATAAATCCTTTCCATAAATCCTGTGGTAATAAATCCTTTTCATTGACCAGATTGGTTAGGAGAGACTGATGAGTGTTTAGATGTGAACCAATGAGATGAATGGAGGCTCCAGAATTGGATATGGAAGGGAGTGTGTGGACCAGAGAGATATACAGAGGAGGAGGCATTGTGAGGATTTGGTGATGAGCTGGAAGTGGTGAGAGGAAAGGTGGGGCGTCTCTGGGTAACTGAGCTTTCCAGCTTGAATGGATGGGAGAAAGATAGGGTTGGGGTGGATAAGGATTTGAATGGCTGTTTGACACATGTTGAGTTTGAGGTGTGTGGTAGGAAGCCAGATCCTTGGCTCTGAATAGGTGACATGCAGTGGATCTCAGGGGCTCTGAGAGCAGACAGAGGAAGTTCAGTGCTCTTGGAAGGCACATTAAGATTAGGTTTCCTGAAAACACTGACTAAGAAACTGTCTCTCTCTCTATATATTTTCACTTTAACATTGGCCATTAAAGCCTCAAACAAAATGAGCAAATAATGTGGAAATTTCAGGTACACACAAAAGTGTGAAAGTTTTTGGGAAGTTTTGAGGTAGTTTCTTAGCCCTCATTAAATCATAATTTTTTGGTGCATCATATGAAAACTCTAGGATGTATTTTAGCACATGTCCCAGAAAATTTCCTCTCATTCCAAATGTATTAGACCCACTTTCCTATTTTGATACTAACATTCAATATTTTGTTGACCTTTTTGTCTTTAGAAGCACGTTGAATTTTTCAAAAATGCCAAAATGAAAAATAAAATCTCATCTGATAACATATAATCTCAGTAATTTGACACAATAGAACAATTGTCTTATTGCTATTTTAAGTAGAATTGTGCATACTCTTCCACTGTTCTTAAAGATTATATCATTTCCTTGTCCTTTTCATGAAGCAAAATAGATTAGCTAATTTTATCCTCCGTGCTGAGAACTTCAGTGTCATTTTCAGGCAAAGAACCATGCTGCATTAGCAACTCTGTGCATGGAGACTTAGCTCAAGGTCTGCTCTCCTCCTCCACGGACCCACCATTCCCTCCTGTGCAGTTCTAGGCCAAGGGGCCAATTTGAGGCCTCAGTGTCTTCATACAAGAACTCCGGAGACTCAAAATACCACTAATTCTTTTAAAATCTGCTTCTCTACAACTGCAAAAAAAAAAAAAAAAAAAAAAGGAAATAGAATTAAATAACTAAGCAAGAGTTACATCCATTAATATTGAATTTTAGGAAACTTCTATATTAGGTTCCTACTGCTGTGGTACGAAATTATGACAAATTTAGTGGCTTAAAAAACAGCACAAATGTATCATCTTAAAGTTCTGGAAGTTATCAATCCAAAAATCACTCTGAGCAGGTTAAATTCAAGGTGTTGGCAGGGCCTCATTCCTCTTTGGAGGCTCTATAGAAGAACTGGTTTTCTTGCCTTTTCTAGCTTTTAGAGGTGGCCTGCATTCCTTGGGCATGCGGTTACCTTCCATCTTCGGAACCACCAATAGCCTGTCAAGTCTTTCTCCCTCCGCATCACTCTGACACTGACTCTTCTCCCTCCTTCTTCCATTTTTAAGGACCTTGTGATGCCATTGGGCTCACCTGGATAACCCAAAATAATTTACCCATCCAAGGTCAGCTGGTCAGCAAACTTTAATTCTACCTGCTACTTGCCCTTTTTCCATGGAATTTAATATTCACAGGTTTTGGGGATTAGGATGTAGACATTTTAGGAGGTGCTCCTTAAAGGTACTCCTGCCTATTGCACTTCTTAATCATATTAAACATGACATGGTGTTAATGGCATAATCATAAAATTTGAAATGTTTATGTAAAAGACATCAGGGTTCTACTATAGTTGGATTCTGCGTAGTTGTTTTGAAAATAACTCAATGGTGCTATCCTCATTTCAGATGTCAGGGGCACATGTGAGACATGGAGTCTTTTAAAATAACATGATTGTGTGTGTGAGAGGTAGGAAAAAGTCAAGGAAGACAAATTAGTGAGTCATTGTGTATTACTTTAGGCAACACTGTGCATTAGAACTTTCTGAGATGACAGAAATGTTCTCTGTCTGCACTGTCTAAAGTGGTAGCCATTAGCTACATGTAGATACTGAGTCCCTGAAATATGGCTAGAGCAACTGGGGAACTGAATTTTTAATTTTATTTAAAATCAGTTTAGGGGTGCCTGGTGGCTCAGTTGGTGGAGCAT